ACTACTACTCATACTACTACGACTACGACTACTACTACTACTACGACTACGACTACGACTACGACTACGACTACTACGACTACTACGACTACTACGACTACTACGACTACTACGACTACTACTACTACTACGACTACTACTACTACTACTACTACTACTACTACTGCTACTACTACTGAAAGACGAGTACGACCACCTAGACAATTACGTATCATCCTCAGTCTCGTCCTTATACTCACAACCATTACAACCATTACAAGCATCACCACGTTCACAACTTGCTGAGCCTCAGTTTCTTCCTCATCCTTCGTTATTCTTCGCCCCAAATCCCTCCTCGTCAGCATCATCAACGTTCCCTCATCCAGCCCATTCCTGTGGCGAGTAGCACAGGGGCGGGCACAACACGCATTCGCCCGGGAGCCTCGCCGAAGATATTGGCCACCTGCGTCCCTGGACGCGTTCCAAAATACCCGGCGATGTAATTTTTCCACTGCGGGACCCCAGAGGTCCCGCTCTCTTCCTTGCCCAGGGACAGTTTTACGCCCTGGACCCACTTTGGATGGCCCCAGGGTCCGACACGAGGCCCCAGAGGCCGAAACCGATGGAAAACGCCCAGACTGAAAAACGCCCAGCGAAGGACCCGCTCATAAATTGTCGTGAATACCGCGTTGTTGGCCACGAACCGGGTGAGGTGTGTGCTGGAATGGACGTCGGGTGCATGCGGACCCTTCCACTGGGGCCGTCGGTGGAGCTCCCTATAGGGCCACGAACCGTGTGAAGGGGGTGCCGAACTGGTTGACACGCGGAGGGCAGAGGCAGGAATGGGAGGAGGGGGGAGGAGGAGGAGGAGGAGGAGGAGGAGGAGGAGGAGGAGGAGAGGAGGAGGAAGTGGGACGCAGGGCCTGTCTTTTCAAAACGAGGCACCACAGGATGGCTGGAGGGAAAAAACACGTCGTCCGAGTTCTGGCTTTATGTTCCCCCAAGGCTGTTCGCCCCCACCGTCGCCTCCGAGCCCCCCCCACCCAGAGAGGGGGCGGGCGCGCTCCCTCTCGCGCCACCCCCCCCTCTTGGGGGTTCCTCCTCCTCCTCCTCCTCCTCCTCCTCCTCCTCCTCCTCCTCCTCCTCCTCCTCCTCCTTAATTCCTTCAACTTATAAATAACTTCTCCCTGTCGCATCCCGAGGCAATTTTTTTGGACGGGCCTGGCGTTTCGCCTTAGACTTCATCACCGTTTATGACTCTGAAACTTGAAAAAGTAACAACAGTTTTACAAATGGAGGGCGGGTCGTTGTCAAAATGTGGCTCTCGCCTTCGCGCCGCGCACATTCGTTTTAAAAATGTGCCAGGGTTCTACGGATTGACAACGGTTGGTTTTCAAAATGTGGCTCTCGCCTTAGCGCCGCGCACATTCGTTTTTGAAATCCGCCGATTTGGCGTGTGAGTTTAAGAAAGCCACAACCTGAGCTTCAGCTCTGCTGGGGGGGGGGCGGGGTGGCTCTGCCGGGGTAGGGGGGGGAGGGGGGGGGGTTCATGGGGTCCACCCTTTCTTCCCCCTCCCCCCCCGGGAATCCCAAACCGCCCCAAGACGGGCCAAAAGGGGCCCAGGAGGCCACCAAGACGGTCCAGGAGGCGCCCGAAACGGCCCAAGAGCGCTCCTGGACGCCCAAGATGGCCTGAAGACGGCCCAAGAGGCCTCCAAGACGCCTTAAGGAAATCCCAAGAGAACCCCCAAGAGGGCCCCAAGAGGGTACAATAAAAAGTTGCTCACAGGTTTCGAAGCATTTTAACATTATCGCCTTTTCCGTCTTAGAAGCGCCGAAGACGGTCCAAGAGGCCTCCAAGATCGCCCCAAGACAGCCCAAGAGGCCCCCAAGAGGAGCCAAGACGGTCCAAGAGGGCCCCAATATAGCCCTGGAGGCCCCCCAAGACGACCCCGAGAGGCCCCCTCAAGAGGGTGAATCCGAACGGACCCTTCTAGTCCTCCACCCCAAGATGACCCCAAGAGCCCCCAAGATGCCCCCGAGGCGCCCCCCAGGGGCCCCCTGAGGCCCCCAAGAGGTCCCCAAGAGGCCCCCAAGAGGACCCCGAGAGGCCCCCAAGAGGCCCCAAAGGCCCCCAAGAAGCCCCAAGAACCAAGAGGCCCCAAGAGGCGCTCACTCGCGTGCTGCCAGGCCAGAGGTGCACGGCCTGACTTGGTATTGCTCGGAAGCGAAAGCGATGAACGAAGAACCTTCCACCCGTCGCCGTCACCAGTCGTCGGTCGTCGGCCGTCGGCAGCCGTTCGCCGTCAGTCGTAGTCGTCGTCGTCGTCGTCGTCGTCGTCGTCGTCGTCGTCGTCGTCGTCGTCGTCGTCGTCGTCGTCGTCGTCGTCGTCGTCGTCGTCGTCGTCGTCGTCGGTTCGTCGTCATTAACTCCTTCGTCGTCGTCGTAATTATCCCGCTCGTCGACGGTTGGTCGTCCGTTGTCGTCGTCATCGTCCATTTCAACAACAATAGCATCAGGAGCACCTCGGATTGGCGGCACTGGCCGGAGGCCACTACAATTTACAAAAGTTTCACGGATTGCAGGCGGCTCCTTTTCAAAATGTGGCTCTCGCCTCAGCGCCGCGCACTTTCGTTTAAAAAAACACAAAGCCTTCACGGATTGAGGGCGGCTCCTTTTCAAAATGTGGTTCTCGCCTCAGCGCTGCGCACACCACGTTTAAGAATTTGCAAGAGTTTTACGACTTCCCATAATCAACGTACCAGCCGGATTATGCGGGTGCAACAGTTATGTTGATGCGCGGTGTTGAAGTCCCAACAATGGCGTTCTGGCACGATTCCGGAACGTCAAGACGCAGCAATCAGGTTGATACGTGGCGTTGAAATCCCGAGAACAATGTTTTTGGCATGCTTCAGGATCTTCAAACGGTTGTCTTCCAACGAGGCAGTCCCCTCAATGGAAATGAACCGTTGCAGGGGCCTATGAAGAAGGAGCTTGGAGGGAGGGTTAATTCCGACACCGTTGGTGACTCTTGGGTTTACACTAATTATCCTCCTCCTCCTCCTCCTCCCCCTTCTCCTCCTCCTCCTCCTCCTCCTCCTCCTCCACCTCCTCCTCCTCCTCCTCCTCCTCCTCCTCCTCCTCCTCCTCCTCCTCCTCTGAGGTCCGACGCTGCAACAAAAACACACACACACACACAAAAAAAAAATCACGCCGAAAACACTGGACCCTGTCTTCCTGTGTCGTTTTTCGAGCCGGATCGATATGCGAGGGTCCTGGAGCCCAAAACCCGGGCGAAAACGCCCGAAGTGAAAAACTGGAACGCTCATATCTGAGGGGACGCGTCCAGAGGGGGGAGGGGGGGAGAGTTTTCACACCCAGGGCGCGACGCCCCTCGCGCTGTGAAAAGGTCACCACGCGGGCTTTTCTGACTGCGCTCGGCCTCTGGGAGGCCCTTCCTTCCACTGGGCCCCAGGGCCGTCGAAAACCGACTCTCGCGGGAAGCAAAGACCGGTGCCCGGGCATGCTGTGAGAAAACAGGGTCGCGACATCGGGGGCCTGAGATGCCCAAGCTTCTCCCGAGGAGGATTTTGCACGAGTGAGCGCACGAATCAGCCGTCGAAGGGCCAGCGTCCCTGCAAGTGCGGCAGGCGCGCCCGTCAGCGCGCAGCAAGCCACCGGATGCGGAGGTATGCCGAACGCAAGTGATACTTGAAACATTCGATGTTTTGCAGAGGATATCAATTACTCTTCCCGTCCGTTAACGGGACCAAGCCAGGAACGGAATGGGCACCCGATTATGCTTCTTGACTGCTCGTCCCACCAAGCATGGCCCCTCTTTTGAGTGATCCATCCAGCCCAGCCGGTATCTGGCATGTCGATTGTATCACTGGCCCGTGAAACACTCATTGAATTGACCAAATCCCTGATCTAAAACAAACCTTTTCCGCATACTCACCTGCTGGGGCTCTGGAAGGTGGCCCAAGAGACCCAAAGATCGTCCCAAGAAGAACGAATAGGGGGCCGAGAGATCCCCAAGAGAGGCCCGAAGACGGACCCAGAGAGACCTAAGATGACCCTAGAGAACCTCAAATGGTCCAAGAGAGGCCCTGGAGGCCCGCAAGACCGCCAGTGAAAAGCTCCAAGACGGCCCAAGAGGGTCTCAGAAGCGCTCCAAGACGGCCCCATGGCAGCCCCAAGACGGCCTCGAGGGACACCTGAAGGCCCCGAAACGCCCCAACATAGCCCGAGAGGGCCGCAAGACGGCCCAAGAGGACCCAAGAGAGGCCCAAGACGGCCCAAAAGGGCCTCTCCGGTAGTCGATGCACAATAGCCTGGGAGACTTGTTGGGGTCATGCTGGAATCCTGCTGGGCCCCTGTGTTTGGAAAAAGTGTTGGAGCAGTTCGGGGAACTTGCTGGACCACTGTGTCCCCCCGAGTCACCCCAATTGTCCCGACAACGTGTAGTGGAATTACAATTCAAACATAGTCGAGCAAATCTTACATCGCTTATCGATCGCAGGTGCCCTGCGTTTCCGCAAAGGCAGAGGGCGGCGGTGACTCGCTGTAGGCGTATTCGATTACTGAGCCAGACTCGGGAAAACTGTCACGTATGCCCATAAACAAATCGCACTGAGCAGATGGAAGGATCGATGATTCGAAATCTTACGCAACACAACAGAACGCCTCACTGCGACTACAACCCACTCATCTTCATTTCTGACGCTTGATCAGCCGAAGCCAAGACTCCTTGTCCACGCAAGGCTTGATGTTCTGAATCCCCATGCTCTCAAGGTCTCGGACAGCTGCAGAGGTTAGGCTTTGCCCCTGCAAGCTGTCCACCCACGCCGCCTTCCGAGTCGTGGAAGACTCATCCCAAAGACAGCCCTCATGGAACGCACGATCCGTGACATTGTGAAGTGACTCGCCAGTGTTACCAGCTTGTGCCTCGCCACTTGCGTTGGGAAAAAAATGGTAAGGGTACGTCTCCTCTGGCGCCAAGTTCGGAGCGGTGCCACCGTATCTCTGTTCCAACTGATGCGGCTCAGCGAGCCCCAGCATCGTGGTCTGAATTTCAGCATCGCCGACGAATTGCACCTTGTCCTTCTTATCCGTGGGAATGAAAGAATTCGCGATCGACTTAACCATCCGGGGTGAGTTCATGATCTTTGTCGTGACGTTTCGCCCGCAGTAGACCTGCTCGAGAAGGATCGCACACTTCTTGGATACCTCCCGATTGGCTGACGACGTAGCAACGCCCGCCCCGACGTCCTCCAGGTCCACGATCAAAATCCAATTCTCCACGCGGCCAGGCACCAACGCGTAGCGGATACCATACTCCAGCACAAAGATTACCAGCTTGACCGCCGTGTCTCTGTCTATGGCTTCCATCCTCGCAAGGCGCCACACCAAGATTGGGCGGCATTTGCGGTCGCGACCATGCCAGTATATGAAGCCCGTCTTCAGGTTTCGCAACAGTTCCTCCTCAAAGACTGGCAAGTGCTTCACACGCATGTCCAAATGAGTCAGCATGATGTTCACGGCCTTCTTTGTATCCGCCGACCCCTTGGGGTCATCGGCGTGTGAGATGCTTCCCCCTCCCGAAACCCATCCCCCCGGTCCGGTCGGTTTAGAGGGAGGGGGAGGTCCGGCCGGCCCCGGGTGAACGCGCCACAGGCCTCACGACGGGCCACGAGGGCCCCAAGAGGCCCACAAGATGGTCCAAGAGGGCCCCGAGTCGCCGATGGAGCGTTCCAAGACGCCCAAGATGGCCCCCCGACGGCCAAGAGGCCCCCGAGACCCCCCAAGAGGCCCCCAAGACGCGTCCCAAGAGGGCCCCCGGAAGCAAAAATCGCTTCATTCTATTAGGGAAACGTATGATTTCAGAACATTCGCCTCTTGGGCTTTCACAACGTCCAAGACGGCCCAAGAGGCCTCCAAGATCGCCCCAAGACGGCCCAGGAAGCCCCCAAGAAGGCTCCATGACGGCCCAAGAGGGCCCCAAGACGGCCCAAGAGGCCTCAAAGACGGCCCCAGGAGGGGGCCCAGGCGGGGTATCGGCGGTGCGGCGTAAGCCCAAGAATCAAACTTTGCCTGCTGCAGGATACGGAGCGCATGCAGTCCGACGAAAGGCGGGAACTCGCTGTCGCCTTCGGCTGTTACTGAACGCTCCGCGGCCAGGGCAGCATGGAGAGCTTGAAGGCCTGTTTGCTCAGCCTTGCTGAGCTTGGTGTTCAGAAAAATGAAACGTTTCCCCAGTTTGCCAGGTTCGTAGGGTGTCCCTATCTCCTTTTCGGATGGCTCGAACAGGACAACCTCCAGAGGCAAGAGAAACCTACTGTGAGGCTCATTCAGCGTCAGGCCACCGATGGCAGGTGCGGCCACCTGCTTGCCGCTTACCTCCACCTCCACATCCCTCAACACCTCCCTCTCCGGCGTATCCTCGGGAGACACCAGTTTTCTGTGCGACTCGTCTCCGTTGGCTGTCTCAGAGCCCCACCCAGGCCAGCACCTAGCTAAGCACCTACCTAAGCCAGGCGACCACTCCGTCGCGTCATCATCATCATCCGATTCGGAATCGGTGTGCTCCCCTGCGAGGTTTGCAAGTATAGGCAAAATTACCACCGTCTGCCTTGCAGCCTCCGCCCCTTGGCCCCCGATGTCCAAGTCCTCCGCGGCCTGCAGCATACTCTGCTGGTAACAACCCTGGCAGTAGTGATAACGACAGAGGTGGTGCGCACACTTCCATCGCGGGCTGTCTCTGTCGATGACCTCTCTACACAGCGTGCATTGCTTCACGCGGAGGCCTGTACGGCCTCTGAAAAACCTCTCGCTCGTCCTCAACTGAGTCACGGGGTGGCCATTGGGACAGTGCAAGCCTCTCAAGCTGGTAGGCGTGGAGGAGCCTCTCACGCTGGTAGGCGTGGATGCCATAAGCGTCCCCAAAAAAACACCAGAGCGATGTTCAATAATGCGGCTCGACAACTGAGCCACACTGGCAGAGGATGATGGTGATGATGGTACAGATGATGATGTTGATGATGATGATTATTATGATGATGACTATGATTATGATATTGATGATGATTATGATAATGATGGTGATGGTGATGGTGACGGTGATGGTGATGGCGATGATGATGATGATGATGATGATGATGATGATGATGATGATGATGATGATGATGATGATAATGATGATGATGATGATGATGATGATGATGATGATGCTGATGATGATGGTGATGGTGATGGTGATGATGCTGATGATACGGATGACGGTGATGATGACGATGATGCTGATCATGACGATGGTGCTCGGAATGGCGACGGTGTGACGAATAGTGCTGGTGATGATAATAGTGGCGGGAGTTGACCTGCATGATCATTGTAGGCACTGGTCCAAGTAACAGCGCGTGGGCCCAGAAAAGATGGTCCATGTAGCAGTACACAGGAGGTCCTGCGTGGAGCCCATGTGTGTGCGTGACACCGTGTGTGCAGAATCCTGTGCGTGGAAACCTATGCATGTGGAGCCCTATGTCCTGTCTGTGTGAACCCCTAAGCGTGGGACCCTGTGCACGTAAAACCCCTTATGTGCGCGAAACCCAACATGCGAGGAACCCAATGCGCGTGGGATCCGTAGTGGTGCAGGCCACAGGGGTCAAGCAGCCGCTGCGGGCGTTGTGCGGGACGCAGGGCCAGTGGAGCAGGCGACCATACGGACCCTGCAGGGGACCAAGCCATATGGGTCTGAGCAGCCGTCGCGGGCACAATGCGAGGCACAGGGCCAGCGGGAGTGGTGGGCAGCCACAAGGGTCCAAGCCATCGGGCCACAAGCAGCCACCACCGAAAAAGTGCGGGACACGCGGCCAGCTCCTTAGAGCACAAACAAGAATCGTCAAGTGCAAACACCGTTTAGGGAATGCCAGGATCCAGAACAAACAATAAAGAAAGATGGTGCACTATGATAAGCCTCGGTTGTGAAAAAGCTCCAGTGCCACGAGGCTTGCGCTGCGCAAGCGAAAGCATGCTCCGAAGACACAACTTGTCAAAATGCCTGTATGAGAAATCTGTCCTGAATTATTGTAGACTATACAAAATGTAGATCCACATACTTTGATGGGGAGTTTTACTTGTTGGATGATGCCGCAGACGGCGGTGCGCGAGCGCAATCTCGAGACTTGAGATGCGATAGCTGAGAGCCGTGCAAGCGCCTGTTGCGCCTCTACGGGGCGCTCCGAAAATAAGCCTATGATGCGACTAGACGTAGCCGAGCCTTTGCGCCAAGGCGGCCGCCATTGCGCGCTTCACGCGCACCCCTCCTGCACACAACCCGCCAAGCCCTCATGTTCGGCCTTCGAGCTCGAGACGTCGGTCGTGATCGTGACTGGACATCGCCGCAACAGCGGCGCCAGATGCTGCAGCTGATCTGGCGGCTCTCGACGCCTGCTTTGGCACCGTCGTGTCCAGCGCACAGGCATCGCCAGCGGTGCACAGCATCGCTCCCGCAAGATCGCCCAAGGCCCAAACTTCAAGGAGGCTCGGGCGCGGAGGGCCTCATCGACCTGTCGCTGCCAGGTGGCAGCGGCAGTGCTCGCGAGACAATAGCGAGCAAGATATCTCAGACACCGGAGCAAGCTGCTGGGCTGTGTGCGTGTGTGTGTGTGCTGACCCGCCAGAAAACGCTTTTGCGTAGCACGGGCCTGTTTCGACCTCGCGATGCTCCTCCTCCCCAGACCCCCGACGTCATGAGTACTTCAGGACATTGACGCGGCAGATGTCTCGACCCATTTCCCAGGACCGGTTGCTCGTCCTGAGTCGTTTTGTTGAAGGTCCCGAGGGCCTGTGAGGACCCCCAGAAGCCGAAACTAGCGAAAAACGGTCCGTCGTGATATTGTTTCCTGACCCAGGGGGGTATGGGTCGTGTCCCAGAGGCAATGCGTGCCTTAGTTGGGACGAACAGAGACATACTAATACTATATGTCCTCCTCGGAGGCGCGTCCGACCCGACCATATATCATAACCACATATTGCAGTAGATCGTTTCCCGAACGGTACAGCCAGAAAGCGCCCGCCACGACGCATATACTATACGACTTCTCAGCACGCGCGTCGCCCCCAGAGGGGCGGCGCACTCATACAGCCGAACATAGAATCAAGAAGCGCATAGTTCAAGAAATTTGGGCCAGCTTCCTGGAAATTTCTTAGTGGGCCAATGTCTGCCGCTAACGCTGTTAACGCTGGAAAGGCGGCCGTGCTCAAAAAACTGGGCCAGCTTTCCGGCAAAATAACCCAGAAACGCTGGCTCAGCTTTTCGGGAGGAGGTTTCTTAATCAGATGCTCGACTGTAGTATCAATATGCCAGGGTGCCGCCGATTTGTCGCCTCTGCAGCGGCGCCTCTTCGTCGCTACGCCCGAGATGCTCTTGGCGCCCGGGCGGCGGCCGCCCCGCGGCGCGGCGTCCGCCGCGCCACGGGGTGCGGAGGGCGCGGAGGGCGCGAGGGGTGCGGCGGCCGAGGGGAGGCCAGGCTGCCGGGGCGACACCTTGACGAGACGCGGACAAACTCCGGTGCGACATCTGGACGAAAGGCCGAAGAGGGGCGGTCGAAATCCAGACGACGTCTGGTCGAGACTGCGTTCACGGTTGGGCCGCGGAGGCCCACAGGAGCTCCCACGAGGGCTCACCCAAGGGCGGCCCTGGTCCCAGGTGGCCCCGCCCGGGGGGGCGGGGGGGGGCCAGGGGAAGGAGCCACCAGCTTGGTTCCCATGATTCATTACCTTGAATGTGCGACTCTTAGAAACCAAGCAAGCGCTTCCCCACTCCCAGCTTCCCCAGGCGTCTTTCCTCTGAGAATCGGGGTAAGATGACAAAGGAATTAAGATCCATGTTCACTCTGCTCAGGGAGAGAAGGGACGGGATGAGACATTGATAAGACAAGCATCTGCTAAGCAAGACTACTCTATCAGGAAAGTGAAGGGAGGGGGCCAGCCGAGGACGGACGACGACGAGCCACCCGCGCGCCCCAGCGCGCTCCTTTTCTCTCCTGCAAGCCAAGGTTGGCTTGCTCGAGCAGTCATACAGCTGCGGAACGCAGCTGTCAGTTCCAGCGGACAGTGCAATGCATGCAAACTAAGTTATGTTTAAATTAATTATGAGGCGGAGAGGAACATTTTTACTCCCCCCGCGGCGGGCCGCGTAGAGCCCATCCAGCCACAGCACCCCCGACCTGTACGTTTGCACAACCACCGGAGCCAACCCGAAAAAGCTTTCACAGCTCAACGGTGGCTGCCAGGGGGCCAAGGGCCGAAGAGGCTCGACGTTTCCCACCATTGTGATAAATAAATTCTCTCCGCTGGATCGGCTTAGCCGACCAGTAGAGTTGTCCGCGCCCATCACGCGTTCCGCGCGTGGGTAAATTGATTTGCACGCGCCTGCCGCGACTGGGCCACGCGGGCGGAACTCAGTTCAGGTCCTTCCACAGGTTGTGCTCATTCTATAAATATTGTGATCGTCTGGGCGGCGCGGGAGGCGGCGGGTTCGACGGCGCCGATCCTCCCGTCTGTACGTCTACGCCACGAGGCGTGCGAGACCGCCCTCTTTCTCTTTCAGTGTCGCTCGTGGGTGCCGTCTCTCTCGGCGGGAAGTGGTGGTCATGCTCCCATTTTGATAGCTGGTGCCAGTAATTCAGAGTGCACCACTCAGCGTCGGCAAGCCACGTGACCCTGTTACGGTGGATGTAGTACCCGACGAGGGTTCCGTTCACGTAGCGCGGGCAGGACCTGGAAGGGTCGTACTCGTAGCTGTGGCCTGCAACGCTGCTGACAGCATCCGCGGCTGCACCTGCGGCAGCGCCCATGGCAGCGCCGGCAGCAGCATCCATGTCAGCGCTAGCGGCAGCATCCACGGCAGCATCGCGCGCGCGTGATTCCGACCGATCCCCCATGGTGGGATGTTGTGGGTTTGTTTCCCTGGTCGTCACGGCTGAGCCGGCGACTGAACGGGGGGGCCCGGTAGCTTCTTCAGGTACCTGAGCGTCTGAGATGTCAGGTCGAAGAGGCGGCGGGCGCGATAAAGGTCTGGCCTTTGGTCCAGCTGGCGCATGTTGCTCCACGATTTCGGCTTCGCCGTCGTGTTCAGGATCGTTATTCCTACGATCGTTCATAAATATATTATACTTCTGGCAGCAGTTGCTGCCGCGGCACCATATATTCCGCATACAGCGCGGAAAGGTCCATCTTCTTTGCCCTGGAGTTCAGCACCAGGGTCAGGATACTTATCCTGTAGCCAAGAAATGGCGTCCTGCATTAGAGCACCGTGGCAACGGACGTCGTTCTGCACTCTCCTGCCCATCTTGTGGGCCCACCTTTCTATGATATCGTCTGTTTTAACAGCCGCACGAATGCGGCAGTCCAAGGCATATTCGTCGGCCCGTTTCTTTGAATCAATTTCATCCGCGCTCACCATTTCGGGGCGAATGAGTCGCCCCGGGTAACCAATAAAGTGATCTTCTGATATGAAATAGCTGATTATATCACGAACAATTGCGAAAATCCTTATGGGCCGAAGGCCCAGCTGCATCTGTTGTACTGGCAGCAACCAATTGTCATCTACTATGGTCTGGATGATCTCCGGGACCACGTATTCTGCCGTTCCGGTCGGGGTAACCCTGCCGGGGTTAGTAGGATTT